TGCATGTTCGTTAAGTTAATTTTTTAAAAAAACCATTCCGATTCTTTGTTAAAAAAACAATACCATTAATATTTTCTTTTAGTCACTGTATTAGTGAATTAAACTTTAATTTATAAACACGTATTACCAAGTAATAGTGTATAAAAATCATTTTAAGTTTTTTTTTTCAACAAAAACTAAAAAAAGTAACGAAGTAGACATTGGTATCACAACGGACAGGAGTACACAAAGGACTTAATCAGATAACGTAAAAAAGAAACTATATAGGGTGGTACGATTTTAGAGTAATGCATAAACAAAATCCCTTGTACACTCTTAGAAAAGACCTGGCATTTGTAACTAACTTATTATCGTTGGGGTAAAACTGTTGCAGAAAATAAAAATTTTTGTTTTTTGTAATCAGTACCTTTATATGTGTAACTGCTTGCATCATTACCTGAAAAGATTTAGTTTTGTTGTTGAGTATTATTTACTGCAAGAAGGCGATTAAGTTATTTTAACTAAAACTTTGTGTTGGCTAGAAGTATTGACAACATTATCTCAAAAAAATCATTTCGGCGATAAAATGTTTTTGTTGGACCAAATATTTAAGTAACATTCTCAACTGACTGAAATTAGTCCGTGGAACTAACGGTTCGGTTGTATAAACTATGCGTCACTTTTCACACAGCTAAGACACCAGCGGTGTGAAACAAAGTATCAGTTGGGGATGTTGTCTCTGTAGGTTAATGCAACTGCAAACTTTGTGCATTTCGCGCGCGATTTGTCCAGCCCGGCGCGTGCTTTACTTTTAACCTGTAAACAAACGGTGTTGCACGGCGTCCAGACTTCGGTGGTGTTTGTTCTTTTGTATTTGTGTATCAGCTCGTGTGTAGTGTATATTTTAGGTAAGAAACTAGTTTATTACAATTAGTCATTTGCCCCTGTAAATTCAGTGGCGACATACTTTTTAACTATTCATATATATAAGATTATACTCTTATGTGTTGGTTACTTAATAAGTAACCAACACATAAGAGTAAAGTAATACTTATAGATATCTCGAACAAATAATATGGATGAGCGGACTGAAGTAGCAGATTCATTAGGAACATGGGGTTTACCTGAATTGGTTCCAGTTTTTAAAGGTTAGGTATTTATATTGCACTCCTTTAATTACACTATTCGGCCATTCCAAGCCCATGGACAGGACACATCAAAAACATGTCTAAATATATTCTTATTACTTCCTTAAGTTTACTTATTTTTTCTACGAGTATTTATGAGAAGTATTAGCCAAATTTGGCTAATACTTCTCATAAATACTCGTAGAAAAAAATAAGTAAACTTAAGGAAGTAACAAGAATATATTTAGACATGTTTTTGATGTGTCCTGTCCATGGGCTTGGAATGGCCGTATTGTAGTTTTGGGGTCCGAAAAAAAATCCAAAAATGTGAAAATGCCATTCCGACTGAAAATGGTCTCCTGAATCCAATGGTGCCCACCAAAAGTCTCCATCACGTCGGAATTTCGAGAATTTTTTGTTTTGTTTTGTTACAGCTCAAGTCACATTTTTGGTATAGGGCCTATACTATAGGCACTCACACTCAAAATTTATCGAATGCTTACTAGGGTGGAGTGAATTTTTTTTTATTTATTAATTGATTTTTCCTATATTATTAATTGTTGACTAAAGGCGTAAAATGAATAAATATCGAAAAAATATTCAAATTTTTTAATATCTTTAGGTGGCGCATCAGTCTCGAAGTTTTGAAAATTCTAAAAAAATATTACTTCAATCAAAGTAATTAAAATAGCAATATTTATAAATAAAAAGTTTATTTTAGTAAAATTAACGTGAAACGTAAACATATTTAATAGTAAATCAAATGCTTTAAGTAACTTCAGGAGTGTTTATTGGTAGAAATGAGATCTTCTTTTTCGCGAAAATACTGACATTTGGTATCAAAATTTGGTTATTATTTTCTGACTTTAGTTCTTGTTCTGATGAAACCATCTCTTGCTTCTGATCCCCAAACCGAGACTGAAGATTCAGTATACTGGTTATAACCAGTTTTACACAGCGTTCCACTGCTTGGGTGTGACACGGAAATAATTTTTGGAAGTATAGGAAATGGTCACCCGAATAAATCATATCGGTAATTTCTGTCATCGTATTTCATAGTCATAGGTGGTTCAGTCACCTTTTCTGTCGCCCAGTGAAATAACTCGTAAAAATGTAATGCTTCAGTATTTAGTTGTGGAAGCTTTATTTCCCGTAATCTCGAACATTTTGATTCTTTTCTCGCCTTTAATATTTTCGGCAATGCTAGTTCTCTGATCGATAGATATATTGTAGGTAACATAGCAAGTAATAGGTTTTCGGAATAAATATTAGCTATAGCTAACAAAGATCCAGGAAAGCTAGCACATTCCCTAAGGCTGATGTGGGCTAATAGGATTATTCGTTTATATGTGGGGACAGCAAATCCTTTGGAAAACCTAAAAGAATTGGCTACTTTTATCATGAAAGTGTATGGCCCAACGTGGTTTTACATCAACACCAAGCCTACGTGCAAACATGGTCCTATTCACATATTTAATATGACTAAAAGAGCATTCAATCTCCAGAACAACTTGAAGGCCTTATAACTATAGTTATAAAGAATATTCAGCGAAATATTTATCCCGAAAACCTATTACTTGCTATGTTACCTACAATATATCTATCGATCAGAGAACTAGCATTGCCGAAAATATTAAAGGCGAGAAAAGAATCAAAATGTTCGAGATTACGGGAATTAAAGCTTCCACAACTAAATATTGAAGCATTACGTTTGTACGAGTTAATCACTGGGCGACAGAAAAGGTGACTGAACCACCTATGACTATGAAATACGATGACAGAAATTACCGATATGATTTCTTCGGGTGACCATTTCCTATACTTCCAAAAATTTCCGTGTCACACCCAAGCAGTGGAACGCTGTGTAAAACTGGTTATAACCAGTATACTGAATCTTCAGTCTCGGTTTGGGGATCAGAAGCAAGACATGGTTTCATCAGAACCTTCTTTATCTCTGAGAACAAGAACTAAACTCAGAAAATAATTACCAAATTTTGATACCAAATGTCAGTATTTTCGCGAAAAAGAAGATCTCATTTCTACCAATAAACACTCCTGAAGTTACTTAAAGCATTTGATTTACTATTAAATATGTTTACGTTTCACGTTAATTTTACTAAAATAAACCTTTTATTTATAAATAATGCTATTTTAATTACTTTGATTGAAGTAATATTTTTTTAGAATTTTCAAAACTTCGAGACTGATGCGCCACCTCAAGATATTAAAAAATTTGAATATTTTTTCGATATTTATTCATTTTACGCCTTTAGTCAACAATTAATAATATAGGAAAAATCAATTAATAAATAAAAAGAAATTCACTCCACCCTAATGCTTACCCCTGTTATCATGCAAGTATGTTACGTTGTACCTAAGAATCATTGTTAAGTTGTTAAACAAAGGCTTGCACTTCACGTAAACATCACGGTTTACTGAAGAAGTATAGTCAAATTTCATCTTAATGTACCTATCTGTGTATATTTACCAAAGAATCGTTTTTGTTTTATTGTTAAAATATTTATAAATGTTTTCTTAGAGTAATTATTAATTTTTGTTATAATGTTTAAACCAAAATTTCGTGTTTTCAGTTATATTGTTATATTTTAATTTATAATAAATATTTATAAAACGAACGGGCATGAATTTCCTTTCTCTATTTTTTATAATATTTACACAAAAAGTGTTATATTTACTAAGCAGGTAGGTATGTACTGTGGAATATTACCAATTTGTTGTTGCTACTAATGCAAGCATTTAATATTAAATATAACTTAGTTACAGTACAAAACAAATTTATATTATATCAACTATTAAATTCTTTAAATGTACATTTTTTCATGTAATTTCAATTAAAAAATAAATTCCTGCATGATACAATGTTTGTTGCGATAAATAGCAAGTGCAGTTGTTACAACTTAGACGCTGCTAAAATGACAGACTAATGTGATTGCATTAAATATCAATTATTTGTATGAAAAAAAACTAATTTCGATGCACTTAAACTTGTTGGTTGGAGCTACCAATATTGGCTGTTCCGACAACAAACTGTAAAAACAAATTTGTATTAGTTCCCACAACATATTTTTTTGTTGTGCCTATTTTCACTAATAAAATTGGTTCTGGGAACTAAATTTTCATTGCAAATACCAGGTCTTTTTTAAGAGTGTAGTGGTGCTCACTTGCAGAATAACAACTTAGATTTCTAAATTGTAGACACCCTTTTTCTTTGACTATAAGCTGGTGAAGGTCCCTTTTAGTACTTTTATTTTGCGTGGAATTTTTCCTTGGATGTAATCTACATCATGAGTTGTAATCACAAATAATTTTAAATTGGTTAATCATAAACTATTTTTAATAAAAGCGACGGTAAATATCCACTTTGTTGTCGAAAAATTCTATTGCATTACCCTAAATTCCATTGCGTTATCATAAGGTAACATAGTGGACTCGGTAACTCAGTGGACAAAGTTTTGTAAAACCATATTTAAAAAATAATTATAAGACATTATAGTCATTAATTACTCTCAATGAGCTTTAGTGCCCTAAAATAAACATAAACATGAAAAATAGTATTTTTTCCTACCTTATTTTTATTATTTTTTTTGAGTAACTTAGCGGACAAACAATTATTACATTCGCGTTACCCGCACCTGTTTCAACCGATATCTTCTTCCTGATTGAATAAATAAATTCAGCTGGGTAACGCAACGGAAAAAATGTCTGGGACATGAGATGTTTTAACAAACTATCGTCATAAAAATACCCATAATAAAAAGTTTTTAAAAATGTACTTTTTTCGCCTTAAACCATAGTGCAGCGCACGCATCTCTAAGCGCCGGGCGCTTATCAGCTGCTCGGTACATCGCGGGTGGCCACGAGACTAGTGTTCCGCGCGATCAGGGCAACGCAACGTCAGTATCGCGGATTGCCATGGTGAGCGCGCGTTGTCCCAAAGTGGAATCGCGATGACATGTGGAGTGCATTTTCGCGGCGCATCGTGAACTTGTGCACAAGAAGGCATCACGAAAGTGAGTCAAAATTTTTTATGTTTATGTTTAAAAGAAGCTGTTGAAAATGTGGTCTATAATTTAAACTTTATTGTTGTCAACATTCGATAAAGAACAGGTTAAATTACAAATTTTATTTAGGAATTTAGAAATGTATGCAAATGAATTTTTTTAATTAAATAAAAACAACTCTACACTCTATAAACTTTTAATAAAATGAAAAGTGAGATAAAATTACTACTTTTGAATAAAGTATACAAGTAGAAATTTCACCACACTTTTAATTTTATTTAAAAAAAAGCATCGATAGATATGGCTAAAAAAGTAGGCCAAATTTTAATGATGTTATATTTATATTTTGAAAAAAAAAATTAACAGTTTACTTAATAACTAACAATAATTTTAATGTTATTGTTAGTAAAAAATCTCATAATAGAAAAAATATAAAGTGCATGATACAGCAAAACATTCTTTAGATTGTTTAGTAGGTATTTTAGCTATTATTTAAAAGAAATTTTTTTGTCGAAAATTAACGAAATATGGCTAAAAATGACAATTTTGTAGAAGTCTAGAAGCTACTACAAGGATTTTGTTTTATGGTACATTTTGTTGTTTTTTAAGAAAAATATAGGTTGTGATACCTATATCATTAAAAAAAAAAATAATAAACTAGAACCCAAAGATATATATTTTTTAAATTTTTTAAACGAAATATTTTAGCACAACTACCTTAATTAAACGCAGTCAAGTTGGCCTCCTTATAAATAATTTTTAGGAGTTTTAGGAGATAGATGGCAATTTTAGGAGAATTTTAGGAGTTTTTAAGATTTAAGCCAAATTTTAGGAATTTTTTGAATTTTAGGAGGTGTGGGAGCCCTGAAAGAACTACCTTGTTATGTACTAAACTGGTTTAATTTATTTATAATAAGCACTAATTTGTTTGTTTTACTGTTAATGTTTAATATTTTTCATTAAATTATTGTAAAATTAAATATGAGTAATAAAGCAAAAAGTGAGGTTAGGCAACCAAGAAAACGCACGATTCTTTTTCTACGATTTAAATTATCTTTAAGTTTTAATTTGCTTTAAGTTTTCAGTGAAATTAAATGTTAAACACAGCTTAAACATTCCAAAACTACCTATTTTTTAAATAAAAATCCAAACAAACTGAAATTAGATACCTACCTATTTATTAATTAGAAATTAGATACCTACCTATTTATTAAACAATTATAATTATAATTGAATTCAATGTAATAGCAAAAATCCATTTCTACTTAAATCATGTTGCTAGGTATTGTCAAACTATTACTGCTTCTAAAAGCAATAATAATTATTGTACATTTAATGTAATCTTTAGCTAATAAATAAATGAGATTCTAAAAAAGTGAGGTTAGGCCGCTTTGATGTTGAATTAAATTGACATATTTAAAGTGCTTTGAAGATAAAATGTTGTATGCCATTCGGCCAAGAAGTGCCCTATTGTGCTTAGCACAAAAAGCCTTACTTCTTAACAACAAAACGTGTAAGATCTTGAGTTTAAGGGTTTTAAAAAAGTTAAATTATATAAAAATGGTCAAAATGTATTCAAGGCCAAATTTTATTATTATAGAAATGTGAAAATATTTTCATCATTTATTTAAAAAGAGTTTTAATGATTCCAACTCCACATACAACACGCCACAACACAACACAAAATCCCTTGTAGAGTATAGCACTATATTTTCAGGACGCCCTGTATAATTTAATACCATTATATTTTGATGGCTTGAGAACTTATCTCTTTCATTTAATGGTCTATAAATAAAACTAAGGGCCCAATTATTATTTATAAATTTATTATTTTCATTCTTTCTTAAGAATTTACAAGAACACTAAATAAAAAAATCAGGAAATTGAACAACTTTTGCGTCACACAGAGTTTATTATTACATTTTAACTATTTTTGGTTGTTTCACTGTTAGTCTAGAATGGGGTTTTTTGGAAGCCACCAAGTCTAGTAATAACATAACATAAGTGGTTCTGCACTAATGCAAGAATTTTAAGAAATCATACATTTTTAATATTAGAGCTTCACGGAGGTTAGGATTTCGTATGTTTTTTTAAAACATCCCTTTGTATTTTTAAAATAAGTTATTGTATCTTTTGACACCATAATATTTTTAAAAAATACAATTGTACATACATAAAATATTTGTAAAAAAAATCTACTTACTGAGATATTACACTTCACGGTGCAAATTAATGAACTTAAACTTTTGAATTATAAAACAGCAACACTCTCATCTGCATATAAATTCTAACTGACCTTCGGGAATCACATGCATCTATAATGTCGTAAACAGAGGTTTTTGCTTTTTTAAAATGATTTAAGCGCCATCCTTTGCTTAAAATTTAAACCAAAAACAGATTCACGGAGGATAGAATCAATTTTTGTAACACCTACATAAATGGTTATAAAAATCATTTCTTTTAATTTTTAATAATATTTTATATTTGATTCGATTGCTTTGGATGTGTTTAATTTACTTTGTGAACTGATATTTTTGGTATGCTTTTACTACCTCAGATATTTGAAAACATAGGTTAATCTAGAAATAGTAACAGTCACGGATGATAGGTTTTAGACTTTTAAAACATTGTAAAAAATAATTAATTGCGTTTAAAAACTTAAAATTCGTGACTAAAATGGCTTTTAATAAACTTGATACATAATATACTATTATCTTATCGTATCGTAGATAAATAAAATACTTATGTAGTTCCAAAGTTAAAGTTGGGAAATGTTTATGAATATAATTAATTAGCATCGGACACATAAAAACAAGTATTTGATATTAACTAAATTATAAGAATTTTTTTAATGCACAAAACAAACCTATTTTTAGACAACATAAACAAGACTTAGATTATTAATAAACTAAGTAATTAAAGTGCTTCCAAAACAGTTATTTTTACACGCATGTTTTTGACATGGCCTTTAATATTATTAATTAGTTGATTAAATGAGTTGTGTGGTTTTAAACGCCATGTTTTGCCACTCACTTTTTTGGAGGTACTGAATATATTTATACTGTTTCAGAAATTTAAAAAATGCGTCGTATTTTTTAATTAACGTTCAATTTTGCACGGTTGTGAATGGGAAACATACAAGCACTAAAAACTTTATCACACAGTAAGTATAAACTTGACCTTCGCATTATGTAAACGATTGCCAATTTTATTTTCAATTGAAACAAATATTTTTTAAGCTAACAAACCTAATGTTTTTCAATGTCGAATAAGTGTTTGTTGTACAAACACCGACAAAAAGTTTTTAGAGGTGCTCAGAACTTTAATTGGATAACTGTTTATCAGGTGCTAAATAAGTTACGTTAATTGTAGCATTTCAAAGTTATAGTTTAACAATTTATTTTCATAGTTAATTTAATTTATACGCGGTAGTGAAATATTTGCTACATTCTGTCAGATTTATTTTAAATTATATTAATTTTATTACATTTTATTTGCAAATTTGTACCGTGAAGTGCCCATAAAACATTCTCTTCACTTTCAGAGAGATTATTTTTATTTGCAGAATAAACTTTTTTTACTGTTAATAAAATTCTCATTGACTGTAATGAAGCAGCAATGTTGAGCTTTTATAAAAAAACGTTCATCCAACAAAGTAATACTTGTTATCATATTGTCATGGCAATAAGAAAGACTTTATGTTTATATTAAATCTTTGTCGAACTTAAAATGTTTTTGTTAAATCTATAGTTGTGTGTGAATTTGTTCATTTTACTATGGCCTATTTGTCTATATAAATTACTATCGTTGTAATTCAAATTAATTTTATTTCAGTTAATAAATCTTTGTTAATAGCTTACGTTAAGAACAATAACAAAAATATTTTATTGCTATAAAAATACTTTTTTAATATTTACTATTGTTTTGGAATGGTAACAAAATTTGTGTTATTTCCCTTGAAAAGAGGGGGAAAGGGCCAGCGCTCTCCTTGGTGAACATAACTTTATAATCCATAGTCTGTGTTATAATCTTATTGATTTCACTTGTGGTAAAATCTAGCATGATAAAAATATCAAAAAGATCACTAAGAAAATTAAAATTTCGACGTTTTCTAAAAGAAATATTTAAGGTCTATTCTTTAAACGAAGCAGACTTGTTGTTTAAAAAGTGAGTTCATATTTTTTTTATTTTGTACATCATATAATATGAGTTAATTTTTTTGTTATAATAAATAATTTGTTTTAATGCCTTGCAATTAATAAAAAAAAAACTACCCAATACCCAACAGTAGGTTGAAAATGTGACCATTACAATGAAAATAGTTTATTGAATTAACAATTAATTTGTTGTTAAATTTACATACATTTTATTAATATTATAAAAAAGTTTTATTTTAAACGAAAAGGGATTTGTAAAATTTAGAAGATTTCTATAAATAATACCATTAGTGTTTTATTAATACTACAAAACGTTTTTGTAAACGGTATAGAACTGTTTTTTGGACAAATAATAATAACTATATTTATCAATGCCTTTCTGCATCTGGAAGAGTGTTATTTTTATAAACATAACGTAAATTTACTTTATTATTAATGCAAATGCTATTACTGAAAGCATTGTTTGTAGATAAATAATTTTTATAAAAATGATCTTTTTTTAGTTATATTTATTAAAACATTTTCTGAGTGTATTGATTGGTTAATTATTTTGTCACGAAAATGTAAATGTTGATTTTGTATACAGGGTGTTTCTTTTAACTTGAGACAGCTCAATATCTCGAGAAATACGCATTTCACGGAAAAATGTCTTAAATAAAAGGTTAATGTGACCAAAGGGGACATTATTTGGTGCTACCGCTAGCCACCCCCCACCCCTCCTTAAGGGTGAAACGGGGGGTAACTTTGGAAAGTCAAATGGAATGACCCGATTTTTTTCACAGAGTTTGGTAGTACATAAAAAAATGAATAACTTTTATTTGAAAGTTTTTTTCAATTTATCAACAGATGGCG